AAGAAATCCAGGGGGCCCCCGGGGGGCCCCTCGGGGGCCTCCAGGGGGCCCCCTGCTGCCGCTTGGCAGCAAATAATGTGGGGGCGTTGGCAGAGTTGAAGGCAATGGTGTATAAAGCTGTGGAGGGTCTCAGCGGCGAGGGGAGAAGTGGGATTTAATTTGAATAAACAAAGTCCTGAAGAAAAGAAGAATGCAACAGCAAGAAGAGTAGCAAAAGAAATGCTTTGCGTCAGCAGCAGCAGCAGCAGCAGCAGGAGCAGCAGCGATACAGGGGGCCCCTTGTGGGCTTGAAGGACAATTTGGGCACTTGTGCAAAAATCTGAATTTAAAGCAATTTAAAAGCCAAAAACTTCATCTTAAATGCCAATTCTTCTCAGTTTAATTAAAATGCAATTAAAATTATTTATTATTCATTTTATAAAGCTAAAGGACCCGAAAGAGGCAAAAAATTCGAAAAAGAAACTCTTTTGCTGCTGCTGCTGCTGCTGCAGCACCTCAACTCACCGCGGACCACTTCTGCTGCGCCCAGCGATTTCCCCAAAGGGAATTCGGGGAAGTCCGGGGGCCCCTGGATCTGGAGAAGTTTGAATTAAATTGATTTTTAATTTTGAAAAGTTTTTAAAAAAAGATTTTCGAAAAAAGAAGTTTTGAAGGACTCAGCAGCAGCAGAAGCACCAGCTCACTGCGCGGGGAGGAAACGAATTCGAAAGACAAACAACAGGGCTTTTGCTGCACTCTTTTGCTCCTTCTGCATGCAGAGGTGCAGCAGCAAAAGCACCAGCAGCAGCAGCAGCAGCAGCAGCAGCAGCAGCAGCAAAACGGCCCCCTGAGTCCTCGCTGGGGGGCCGCCAACTCGCAGCTGCAAATCCACGCATATCACTGCTGCTAGAGAAAACACGCAGCAGCAGCAGCGATAGCAGCAACAGCAGCAACAGCAGCAACAGCACCAACAACAAGAACAGCAGCAGCAACAAGCAATAGCAGCAGCAACAGCAGCAGCAGCAGCAGCAGCAGCAGCAAAGTGTCCTCACGCGAATTGGACCTCCTGCTGCTGTCGTGCAGCTTCCGCTTCGTCTGTCTTTGCTGCTGCTTCTGTTCGTACAGCAGACTGAGGGCCTGGATCTTGAGGGCTTCGCAAAGGGCTTGCTGCTGCTGCAAGAAGAGTTCAAAATAAATAAAAATAAATAAATAACTAAATAACTAAATTAATGAATAAATATTGTTGATCTAATTTGAATTAGACAGTTGCAAGAAAGTTCATTATTGTTCTATGCACTCACTGAGTCGACAGAGGCATTTTGAATGAAGTACATATTGCTGCTGTTTGGAGTTTCATATTCTGGCTCTGTGTCTGCTGCTCTCCACAAACGCTGCTGCCTCTCGCTGCATGCACCCGCTTCCCGTGCTGCTGCTGCTGCTGCTGCTGCTGCAGGCTGCTGCGCTGCAGCGTGGCGGCGCCAGGCGCTGGGGCTGGGGCCGCACTGGGAATTCAAGAACTCAATTTGGGCACTTCTGGGGGCCTTTGGCCGGCCGGCGCGGCTTTGCTCCCGGCGCTGCAGCAGCAGCGCCAAAGCAGCAGCACGAATGGCCTGGAGTTGGAGTTCAGCCTTTCTTTCGGAAACGTGAAGTTTACAGAAGTGCATTCTCACCTCTTCTTCCATTTCTGCTGCTCGCAATCAGAAATTTACGAGGCAATTTACGAAACTCAGAAGCAAATCAAAAAGAAAGGCAGAAAAGCGAACAAAATTCAAGTAAGAAGTCCTAAGACTTCAAGTTTCAACTCGCGCAGCGCGGCTTCGCCAGCTGTACGTACACCCGAAATACGCGAATTTGCATGCCGCCGATCCCGCGTTTGGCGCTTCATCTATTTTACTTTAATATCGTCTGGATAAGCCATTATTGAACTTTAATCTCGTCTGAAGAATCCATTATTGTACTTTGATCTCAACTGGCTAATTTCCAAACGAGTTGAAACGATATTCAACGAGCTGTAATTACACCTGAGGCAGCATGCTGCTTGCCGAAGGAAAAGAAAGAAACAAAAATTTAAATTACAAAAGATCTCAGTCTCCAACTAATTAGTATTATTCTTTAAAAGCTTCAGCTTGAAATAAATCTTTTATTTAATTTCGAAAAGCATAAGTTGAACTCTGCCTGCAGCTGTCCATGAGTTGAAATCTGCTGCTGCTCTGCAGCAGCAAATTTCTGCAGCTGCGCAGCAAGGCCCTGGGCAGGAAGCCAGAGACAGCAAAAAAAGGATTAATTTAATTAAATGAATTAAATGAATCAAATTATATAATCCGAGAAGCTGCACTTCTTGAGACTCTCGGCCTCTGTCTCTGTTCAAATGTTTCTCTTTCGGAAAGCAGGAAATGGTTAGTGCCTTCGGGCCTCTGCTGCAGCACAGAAGGCAGCAGCAGCAACTTGGCCTTTTTGAGTAACTCTGTTTCTAGCACCTAGCAGCAGCAGCAGCAGCAGCGGGGGCACACACAGGCATCAGGAGGCCTTTGGGGAAGTGCAGAGGAACTTCTGCATTATTAATCTTAAAGACTAGCTGGTGAGTCTGGAGTGGGTATAAGAGAGTTGAACTCGGTGGCAAGTTGCTGCAGGTTCGACAGACTAGATTTGCGTGCTGCTGCTGCTGCTGCTGCTGCTGCTGCTGCTGCGGGGTCCTAATGCGTAGAAACTGCGTGTGGGTGGGGGCAGTGGCTGGGGTTTCAGGTATACGTACACCTGAGGCCGCGCGCGCAACGGGCGCCCCCGACTTGGCAGTCACTTTTGCTTTTCTGCATTCGTCGGGTCGGGTGGCTAGCGGGGCGCCGGCGCGCAGGCGAAAGGCTCGAATAAAAAGAAATAAGAAAGTGGAAACATTTTGGAATTAGTTGGCGAAAATAAAGTAAAAAGGAGCAGCAAAAGGTGTGGGGGCTCCGCAGCCGCGGCGGCAGCAGCATCGCCGGTCATGCACTGCATGGCCCGGCGGCGAGAACGGCGGATTCGCGGTTTGTAATACTCTTTTCACCGAAAACTTCACTTCCGTTTTTTTAAATTCAACAATAAACTTCATTAAATTCAACAGGAAACGTTTGGGCTGCTGCGGACGGCCGCGGGGAAGCGTCCGATACACCGTGCCACTGGCCCATTCGCGCCGCTCGCGATCTTCGGCCTTTTCCCGTCCAACTTGGGGATTTTTTGCGGAATTCGGAGTTACTTTGCCTTTTTATTCTTCATGGGGGAGGAAAACTCCCGGGTTTCCCGCTTGAGCTGGCCGAATCGACCGCTAGCAGCAGCAGCAGCAGCAGCGCGCGGCCGCCGCCGGCCGTCGATTCGCAACGATGGAGAAGCTCGACTCCGCTTCTTCGCCGCGGTCCCCTCGGGCGCCCTCGGTGAGTCCTTTGCTGCTGTCGAAACGCAGCAGCAGCGCAGCAGCAGCCCCAACTCGAAAAACTTGAACTGCAGCAAACGCCGCGGCGTGCGGTGTGCCTGCAGGCTGAGGCCGATCCCCTCACGCTCGAGGTCCGGGGCTTTCTGGAGGTCTTTGGAGTCCGCACGGGGCAGTCCAGCGACTCAAGTAAGTTTGCTGCTGCGCTGCTGAGCAGCTGCCTCCCGCTAGCTTCCCGTGTGCATGCGTCTCACGCCTGCTGCTGCTGCTGCTGCTGCGCTGCGTCTGCTGCGCCCCTGTTGCTGCAGTCGGCTCGCGGCGCAGCTTGTCGCTCTCCCGCGGCTCCTCCCTGGGCCGCACTGCCACTCCTGCTGCTGCTGCTGCCAAGACTGCAGCAGCAAGGAAGGCCCCGGGGGCCCCCGGAGACGCAGCAAAGGCCAAGCAGCAGGAAAGAGCTGCTTCCGTACCCTCCAAAAGCCGCCTGGTCAAAAAAGCTGCCCCGGGGGCCCCCAAAGCAGCAGCAGCAGCAGAAAAGGCCCCCACAGCAGTGCGGCTCGTGAGTGCTGAAGCCAAAAAAAAAGGAAAGGAAGATTCTTCGGAAGCCCCCAAGGAGCTTCCCCACAGGCTGGTGGAGAAGACAGCAGCAGCAGCAGCAGCACAGGACCCCAAGGCTGCTGCGCCCGACGCCGCAGCAGCAGCAGGCCCTGACGACCCAGCAGCAGCAGCAGCAGCAGACGCCCCAGCCAAGCAGCAGCCCGCCGCAAAGGCAGCAGCGGGGCCCCCCACGGCCAAAAGGGTCTTAGCCAAAAAAGAAGCTCCTCCAGAAAAGCCCTCAGAAGAAGCAGCAAAAGCTGCAGCAGAAGCAGCAAGAGCTGCAGCAGAACCGGCAAAAGCTGCAGCAGAAACAGCAAAAGCTGCTGCAGCAGCTCCCGTGGCCAAAAGAATCATAGGAAAAAAAGCAGCACCGGCCAGCCTGCTGCGCAAGGGAAGCTTGGGAGCAGCAGCAGCAGCAGCAGAAGGCAAGGCTGCTCCAGAGAAACCTGCAGCAGACGCCGGAGATGCAGCAGCAGCAGCAGCAGCAAAACCAGCAGCAGACGCAGCCCCCGCAGACAAGGCAGCACCCGAAGCCGCAGAACCCAAAGCTGCACCAAAAGACGCAACAAAAGCAGCAGAAGCAAACGCTACAGCAGAAGAAGCAAAAGGAGCAGCAGAAGCAGCAGAAGCAGCAGAAGCAGCAGAAGCAGCAGAAGCAGCAGATGCAGCAGATGCAGCAGCAAAGAAAACTGCAGAAGCTGAAGAAGCTGCCGACGCAAAGAAGGACGCAGCAGCAGCGGATGCCGCAAAAGCAGCAGCAGCAGCAGACGAAGCCGACGCAGCAAAGAATGCTGCAGCAGAGGCAGCAAAAGATGAAGCTGCTGCGGGGAAAGCTGATGCAGCAAAGGATGCAGCAGCAGAAGCAGAAGACGATGCAGCAGCAGCACCAACAAAGCCGGAGGCTGCCTCGGGCAGCCCGGATGACCCGTCTGCAGCAGCAGCGGCAGCAGCAGATGCTGACGCAGATGAGAAGCAAAAGGGGGAAAAAGAAAAAGAAGAAAAAATAAAAGTGGAGCAGCAAGCAGCAGCAACAAAAGAATCAAAGATGCAGGAGTCAGCAGCAGAAGCAAAAGAAGCAAAAGAGGGGGGCCCCCAGCAGCAAACTGCTGCTTCTGAAATAGCTGTGGAAGCAGCAGAAGGAGAAGCAGAGGAAGGGCCCCAAGCAGCAGCAGGGGCCCCTGCTGCTGCTAAAGCTGCTGCAGCAAAGAAGGCCCCGGGGCTTGCTGCTAAGGCAGCAACGCCAGCAGCAAAGACTGCAGCAGCAGCTGCGAAGACACCGGCGGCAGCGGCAAAAACCCCAGCAGCACCAACAGCAAAAACGGCAGCAACAGCAGCAAAAGCCCCAGCTGCAGCAGCAGCAAAGACACCTGCCGCAGCAGCAGCGAAGACACCAGCTGCAGCAGCAAAAACGCCGGCAGCAACTGCCAAAACACCAGCTGCAGCAGCAAAGACGCCAGCTGCAGCAGCAGCAAAGACGCCAGCTGCGGCAACTGAGGCTCCAGGTGCAGAAGCAGCGAAGACACCGGGTACAGCAGCAGCAAAGGCACCAGGTGCAGCAGCAGCAAAGGCAGCAGCTGCAACAAAAGAAGCAGAACCAGAAGCAGAAAAAGATGGGGAAGGAGAGCAGCCGGAAGAAGAAGAAGCGGCGCAGCAGCAAGAGGAAGAGAGCACCGAAGGAGCAGCAGCAGCAGCAGCAGCAGAGGAGCCTAAGAAGGCAGCAGCAGCAGCTCAAGCCCCTTCGGCTAAAGTTCCCTTGAAGAAGGCAGTTCCAACTCCACCGCCAGCAGCAAAAACTGCTGCAGCAGCAGCAAAAGCCGCGCCAGCAGCAGCAGCAAAGACAGCAGCAGCAGCAGCAAAAGAAGCGTCCGCAGCAGCAAAAGAAGCGTCCGCAGCAGATGCGGCGAAGGCAGGACCGCCAGCAGCAGCAAAGACGACGACAGCAGCAAAAGCAACACCTGCTGCTTCCGGGGCAGCAAAGGCAGCTGCAGCAAAAGCTCCAGCAGCAAAAGCAGGCTCTGCAAAGGCTGCAGCAGCAAAGGGAGCAGCAGCAGCAGCAACAGCAGCAGCAGACTCCCAAGCCGAGGCGAAGAAAGACGACAAAGAAGCAGCAAAAGGCTCTGCTGCAGCGCCAAAAGCAAAGGCACTCATGCACAAGGCTGCTCCTAAAGCAGCAGCAGCAGCAGCAGCAGCAAAGGCAGAGCCCGAAGTTTCTAAAGCAGCTCCGGGGGCGCAGCAAAAGGGGGCCCCCAAAGAGGGAAAAGCAGCAGCTGCCCCTACACGACGCTCTTCCGATCTAGAAGCAGCAGCAGCGGAGGCAGCAAAAGCAGACAAAACGCCAGCAGCAGCAGCAGCAGCAAAAACGCAAGATAAGGCTTCGCCCAAAATCGCAGCAAAAGCCAAACCCGCAGCAGCAGCAGCAGCAGCACGCGATGAAGTCCCCACGAGCCCTCCCAGCGCGAAGACACCGAAGAAGAAAGCAGCTCCGGCCTCTCCCTCTTCAGCAGCAGCAGCAGCAGGAGCAGCAGCAGCAGCAGCAGCAGCAGCAGAGGGCCGCAAAAGCGAAAGCCCTCAGGGAGAAGCCAAAAGAGCCAGCAGCAATGAGTCTGAGGGCCCCCACAGAGAAGACACTCCAGCAAAGCTCAGCCCCTCTGGGGGCCCCCCTTCTGGGGGCCCCCGTGGGGGCCCCCCAGGAGGGGGCGCCCCTGGGGGCCCCCATGGGGGCTCCCCAAGGGGGGGCCCCCCTGGGGGGCCCCCCGAGGGGGCCCCTGGGGGCCCCCTCGACGAGTCTGATGCTTGGTCTGTTTCTTCTGATGGGTTTGTGGGGGAAAGAGCAGCAGCAGCAAACAGCAAAAGCGACAGCAACAGACCTGCTGCAGTGCCGCGGCTAAGCCACATCCCCTCGAGGGACAGCGAGGGCCGTTTGCTGCTGGGGCCCCCCCTGGGGGGCCCCCCGGGGGGGGCCCCCGGGGGGGCCCCCG